ATCGCTTATTCTTAGATAAGTCGAAATGCCAGAACTGTAACTTCTATCGGCATTCGTGCAGCTTATTTAATAAATTTAACACGAGAACTACCGACCTGTAATAAGTAGGTAAACATATTGCACGAATGGTAATAATTATAATGTACGATTAGCACGCGTCATTAATTCCGTTAAAAGTAGCTGTATGTCTTCGGAATTTAGAGAAATAAAATATCTAGAATAATTTTCAGCATGTAGCTTCAGAGTTAATACACTGGAAGTAGTTGTGAAATTTTTCTAATAAATAATAATTTTAATTTGGAAGTAATTTCAATACTAAACCTACCATATCCTAAACGACTATTTTCATAATTTGATTAAAAATTCTGCAATTCAGTGTTATATTATTATATAATTGTAGGAAAAGGCTGGTGCCTTCTGGTCTATATCGTGTGTTATAATATTTTCAGGACAGTCTACAGTTGGTATCCACAAAAATCTACAATGCAAGGTTGGGATGGGAACATGGAAGATATTATGAATCCCTGATGGAAATTTATGCTGACACTCTACGAACTAGGTGTAGACATTCATCTCGAATAATAGAATGTACGTCAGGAAATCGTCAAACTCATATCCAGATGTATTTAAATATTCGAACTATCCTTGTTTTGTAATTATAACAAATTCAACATAGCCCGATGATACCAGTTGAATAAATAATTCTGCTTATTTCTAATTCCATTGCACAGACATTTTGAATCACCGCTTACCATTAATTCGAGTGGCAGGTGTCATGGATACTGCACGGGCTAGATCTTCATCTATAACTCAAGTGAAATTATAAATACAGAATCTCGGATTGAAATATGGCCAATCGTACATTCGAGTGTCTATTTCATACGTTTAACTACCTCCGATGTAACGACTAAGAATCTCGTTCCACTATGAGACTAGGAACATAATTTTGCACCTGATTTAGTTTCTGAAGAGCTCATGTTATTCGAAGCGTGGATTCTGAAGCGTTACTATCATTTGAACTATGTAAAACGTGTAAAGGAAAAGAGAAAAGAATGAAAATCTAAAAACGACACTGAAATTTATCTCGAAACATTTAATTTCGAAATCCGCAAAGAGATAGCATTCCATTTTAAGCCTATATTATAACACTTTACATCTAAAATATTCAAGTAATTTTAGATAATTTTGTATTATCATGCTTGGCCAAAAACATTTTGCCAGGGGTAATATAATGACAAAACAAATTTCAAATATTAGGTTACATACTACCAACCATTAATTAAACTATGACACCTAGAACTATAAAAAGGAAAATAAAATTCCACGTTTATTAGCGAAAAATAATTTTGAAAATTCGTGAATGAAGTAAACGCGATACCAAAAACACTAACCAAAATATAAAATAAATTTCTAATATTATATTACAAGTTACCTACGATTAATTAAATTAAAATACCCGACACTATAAAAGAGAAAATAAAATCCCTCATTTATTACCCAAAAATAATTCTGCAAAGTCGTAAATGTAAACGCGATACCAAAAGCACTAGTCAAAATATAAAATAAATTTCTAATATTATATTACAAGTTACCTACGATTAATTAAATTAAAATACCCGACACTATAAAAGAGAAAATAAAATCCCTCATTTATTGTCCAAAAATAATTCTGGAAATTTGTGAATGTAAACGCAATACCAAAAGCACTTGCCAAAAAAATATTCCGACACCAGGAAGGGTGCACGAATCTCTCCGAAATCACGCTTCTGCTCCACCACGCGTCTCCGTAACAACCGATCATTTATTACATTTTTTCCTCTCGCCTTCGAATTTCAACCGGGCCGACCGCCGTCTTTTCCCGAAGATTGACAAAATAAGATGTTTCGCCAGCGTTGCCTCGATCGCCTCGCGGCGATCAATCTTTCCTTTTTTTCCACCCTCTTTCTCTCCGCGGCAGAAAAAGCCGACGCCGACGCCACGTTTTCGTCGACAGCGCGGAGAAACCCGACGAGGAACCAGAAGAAGAACCGACGAAGCCCCATTTTCACGGTGATTTTAGCGGGAAATCTCGTCGCGTGCCGCACGATTCAATTTTCCTCGGTAATATTATGATTTAACGGGGCAGACCGCCCCGAGCGTCGAGGACGCCTCTTTCAGTCGACGTCGCAGCCGATGTCGAGGACGAAGACGGCTCGTCTGCGTAATTACGCGAGGGCCACCGTGAAAAAAAAAATCGACGTCGGTGAAAATGTCGCAGAATTGCGCGGAAACGTTTCGAGCACGTTACGTTAATTGCTCGATGAAATTGGTAATTTGGACGAGGACAGGATTCGCGTAATCGCTTTTCCAATTACCGTTACAATAGGGTGTATTGTTGAGCACTCGACCTTCCACGGCACACTTTTCTCGGTTGGTTATAGGGGCGGGAAAAGGACTCGTCGCCGGGTTCGTAATGGTTTGTAATGGTGAAAAGAAGGCTAAATTGGGTCCGTGAGTCATCGCGTGATTGGAGAGTGTAGTGGTTTTGTACCTTTTGCGACTTCCTTTTTCTTTGCTTTTTCGAGGCTGTTGTCGCGAAGAGGTGTGCTGTTGGCAACGAGAAAAATGTTGCTTCGATGGAACCGGGGTCAAATCCATATAGAGTTTTAGAAAAAATAGCAAGTAGGTATGGTGAAGATTAATATTCGATTTCTGGAAGAATTTTTGAAGAGAAATTTAAACTAAATTCGCGATAAACATTCTTTTTTCCTAAAATTTGAGAGACTAGAATTATATAATTTATGCTTTAATGTGTCGAGATTCGTGAAACATTAAGCCAGTAGGATAGAAGAGAAAAAAATTTCGAAATTGAATTAATTTGTTCCTAAAATTTGTTATAAATATTCAATTTATAAAATTAAAATGTCTACTCCATTATCAACTAAGGAAAAAATAAAAACTTCCTTATCACCTACCTAATCACCTACTCAAAAAATATTGAAAACAGTCCTAGTTTATCATAAATATATAAATTATAAAATCTCAATATATATACTATTAATGGTAAAAAAAAAAAAAATTTTTTTATACATTATCTATTCAGAAAATAAATAAAATAGTCCCTGAAATTTATTATAAATATTCAAATTATAAAATCACGATATATGCGCTATTAATATAAATAAAAAAAAAATGAAAAATTCTTTATAAATAATCTATTCAGAAAATAATTAAAAGATTTCTGAATATATTATAAATATAGAATTTTAATAAATATACTGTCAATAATTAATAGAACAAAGAAAAAAAATTAATTGCAAATAACCTGCTAAGAAAATAATTGATATTATTAACCTATACATTAAAATCATATTAGCAGTCACAAGACCAACGCCCACGTGACGCCATATTCCTCGTCAAAGTGTGACGTCACACGTGTCGAGTGTGTCGTGCGAAAATATATATATATATCGACTACCACACACTCGTATTGAATATTAATATATTGCGAATGAAAAGTGTCCACATAGCCGACAATTACCTGTACACGATCATTCCTTATTGCAAACTTGTATTCGCGACATGAGTCGTGGATTGAAAGAAAAGAACAGCCTCGTGGCCAGCAAGCATAGTTTTTCTTCGACACAGCGTAGTTAACCATCACCTGCCACGATGATTAATGGCTCGTGTTCCCTAGTGAAGCCCTAGGCCGATTTTTGTCGCCGCTACACTGTTCTGCACTTTATACACCGGTCATTACTCCGTGCGACGTTTTCATCAAAAAGAGTTATCTCGGACAGTAACTTTACATTAAATCTTTCCTCCACTGGCAGCCATACGTCTCGCTCTCCCGCTAAAACTGACGGCTGCGCGCGCAGGTCATGTGACGCGAAGCGAAGCCTCGTATCCAGCGCGCGCAGGTCACATGACAAGCCTCGAACCCTCGCATCCAGCGCGCGTAGGTCACATGACAAGACTCGACCCTCGCGTCCCTCGCGTGTGAATTTGAATCGCGTCACTCGACTATTTATTCTCTATTAATGATAAAATTACAAAACGCTTTAACTAATAATTCGCGGATACTGATATATTGAAGTTTATCGTGATATTACGCACTGTTAGTGAAATTTATGTGTATATTGTTAAACCGTGTACGTAACATTTATTCCTATTGTTTTTGGTTAAATATTCACACCGGAACGAATACAGCCTATTGGATAATATTTAGTACGGTAATCTGCAATTAACTGAATTCAACGCAGCGCGAAAATCGTTGCCAGAAACACACTGATGAATGTGGTTAACGTTGTTGCTAATTTATTATAAACTCATTAGCACTATTTTACTCGTTTTGCAATTCGCCTAACATTTTTATCCAATTTTATGCACTGTAATGTACGCTGTATGATATTCAAAAGATCGAGATTAAGTGTAAACCGAATATACATGAAATATGTATCATCTCGAACTCTGACGATGAAATAAATTTGCACGAATTAAAAGAAGAATTGTTTACAGTTAAATTGAATTATTTTTCACGGAAATCTTCCTTTCTGCATGAATTTATATTACGATTATAAATCATATATTTGACAGAAAAGAAAATATAGAAGATATAGAATATAGAAAAGAAAATATATAAATTTCTACTGAAAAAAAAAAAAGATAAAAGTAGAAAGAACATCTATATAGATAGCCAAAATCTCAGAATGATTTTTAATTTACTCCAACGATTAATAATTCCAGATTTTTATATTCTTTGCCCCACAAGTGACTATTATTATATCGTTATCGATGATTCGCGAATCTGAAACCGAATAACTGTCGCAGGTCGAGACGAAACGATATTCCATACGCGACTAACGATTCTTCATCGATCGTCTCGTACCGAAACGCAGTAAGTGGAGCAAGATTTGACCCAGCGATGCCGGTTAGAGGTCGAGGAATCGTCGTGAATCGGATGATCCGTCCAAGTGGATCGTGGGAGCCCGTGGCTAGATTCGAATCGAGAATGTACTCACCTATGATAGTGTGCACCCTCACGGACAGCTGGGTCCTGAGAACGATCGAGTTCTTTCGGCTGCAACAGAGGAAAAGAGAGAACGATATCAGTAACTGAGCTGTCGCAAATGTAAAATCGATGCCAGGGTAACCCCTAAGACCTCGAAATATCTCTTTGGGTTACGTTCAAGATGTGTATACCTAGAGACACTATCTCCAAGAAATTCTGGTAAAAATGCAATCTCCTAATGTAATAAATAAGATGATTTAGGCCCTCCAATTTCTTCAGGTATATTTACTTCTTATTTATTAAAATCAGATGAAAAGACAGGTTCAATTAACGATAATAAAATAGAATCATAATCTATATATCTCAGTGCTGTTAAATCTAATATCAATGATAAATAACAATACTTGAATTTTCCGAAATTTTAGTGTTAAATTAATGTCTTATCTCATCTCTAATAACCTATAGGATTTGATTATTCAAGATAGAGAATATAACATGTTATTTATTTTATTATCACCATCGCCGTATTAACGTATTAATTTCTGATTGAAGAATCGTAAGCGTAAAATCCAAAGAAATAAATTTCAATTTTCTGTCCCCATGGTTAACCAATTCTTCAAACCTCGAGTACCTGAAATGTACCCACCCCAAGATGCAAGATCTATCAACACTCGATCTCCTCGTTCGACAGGGGCAAATCTCGACACCTGCAGCCCCGATTTCCTGACCCGTGACCAAAAGCACGCCCTGAATAAACTGGGTTAAACATTTCCGCAACGCAACGGACCTCGCGTAGGTATAGAATACTCTCGTCTCCGCTCGCCTAATAATTTCTTCCAGCACGGACCGATGCTAACTATTCGTGGCCGCGAATTAATCGGGCTTTGCCAGTGGGTAATTACTTAATTGGGCCTGCGTGAGCGCTTGCACAACCCGTAGCAATACTAGCATACACGCGCGTTCAGCGCGACACGAATTGGGTTAGAGTGGCTCCGCTCGGAATCTGCCTCCGCGCACCTTGGCTAGCCGCGGCGAACTTTAAGGCCCTGCGAACCTTCCCACGCCACGCGTCCCTGAGAAACTACGGCGACCGCGTGCACAATGGATTTCAGGAGTCGGACGAGGTGCGGCGAGGGGGAGGAAAAAGAACGAGGGGTGCAGGCGGCGGAGAAGGCCTGAAGAGAGAAGACGAAGACACAGACGGCGGCGTAGCGAGCGTCAAACACATCCGGGGCAAAAAAGTCGGCTACGTACGCGCGCGTTAATAATGTTTCCGCTCGTTAAACGAGCGAGACGGAGCGCGATTACGCATTTTGCTTTTCCCACAAGCGGACACGTACGCGGAGGACAGAGCGTGTTCGTGTGCAAATGCTGTACGCGGAATCCGCGATTGCAGCGCGCGCGCGCGCGGCGATCGAGATCGATCCGCGATTAAGCGCGATTGTGTGCGTTGTCTTCATGAAAATTTCAAGCAGCGATGAGAAATCGTTTTTCTAAGACTGTGTTTTGTGTCGTGTATAGCCGGCTCTGTGTACGTCTATGCGTACATTCGAGGTATCCGAAAGGGGGTTGAGATCTTGCGGAACGAAGCGCAGGAAAGTGAAGAGTGGATGCTTAGGAATTAAATTTATATGCTTCGGGTCGGGGAAAATCACGGAGAGAGTTTGCTTTTAATCTAGTTTTGATTGTCGACGTAGAACACCTCGTTGTTTGGAATAAATTACATCGGAGTGTATGAGACCTGTAGGCTGAGGATCAATGGGAGATTTAAGGAAGCTGACGAGTTCTCCGTGTTTGATAAAATGAAGTCCGATAGTTGAAAAATGAAGGGAAGGAGAGGAGAAATATTTATAGTTCGTTGGTTTGATAGACCTAACAGAGATACACGGATTATGGAGTTCCCAAGTTCCACTGGTTGGTCCTAGGTTCTCTGAAGGGTCCAAGATCACAGAGGTTCCAGTGCCTCGATTAGGGTCAGTCCACGATCGTCAATAATCCAGAGTAATCGAAGCATTAAGGTTTCCAAAGTCCCGAGGTGTCCTGGGATCTTACTAACCCTAGGACCTCTAGCTATCTGCATCTCGATGAACCAAACCGATTTGGAAACTCTGGATCACGTGTACCATAACTCTCTCGTGTCACTGGCTATTACGGTGATATCGAAAATCTTTCTCGAGAATTTTTCAACTTTGAGGAGCTAGGAACTTCTCGAAGAGTCTTAAAGATTCTGAATCACCAGTGACTCTGAAACCGTGAAGATTTTGGTCAACTTCTGAAACTGTAGCTAATCCCAGTTCTCCTATGACGATCCTGAAATATTTCGATTTTTCGTACACCTTCGATATTGGAATTTCGACATATTCTGAATATCTCTTGTATTCATAGAATCTCCGTACATCCCGAATACCTCTCGTAGCTTTGATACCTTCGGTGACTCGAAATACCTGTAGACCAGGACCCGTAGAATTTCCAATATTAGCTCTTGGACCTCGGCGACAGTTGCATCTCCGTTACATTAAGACTCTGGGGCTGCCTCTGATGCGATTCTGTTATGTACAGAAGTGTGAGGTAACTCCTACGAACCCGATAGACCAAAATGGTCCACGTTCACCGATCTCCAGACATTTTGACATCTGTTACCTACCATTCATTTACGTACCGACTTGCATAAATTCTACATTATGCACACAGACTCCAAAACTGTTCGCGTATCTTCATCCGAATTAGACCCTGCTCGTTAATAATTTCAGATCTTCCTTCCCAACTAATTTCCAAATCTCGGGTATTCCATTTCTCGATGGCGATAGGTCCACCTCTAATATCGCGTACCATTTAAATTCAAGGGTTCGTTCAGAACTATCCACCTCTGTATTAAAACTCCATTAACATTTCAAACGACCCAACCCCCGTTCCGCGTCTCGTTCCTTCGCCAAAAGACCGTCGTCATCCCCGTTGAAGATTAAAGAAGCATCGTTAATACGGGAATTACGGAGTTGGCTGGGTCGCGATTGAAAAATATCAGGGGGTTTTAAGCAAACCCGAGATCATATCCGCGCGGAGGAGGAAAACTTTTGATCCTGCCTCTGCTCGTTGCCTCGCGGGCCAGGCTATCCCGTAAACAAACCATTTCCATGTGAATCGAGGGAAAAGAAGCGGTGGCATGGCTCCTCTGATTCCCTTAAGAGAGTTGGAACACGCGGGGGCAGAGGTTTCTCGAATAAATTAAAAACTTTCCGGCACAGGGCCAAGTTCAATGTCGGAGCCAGCACCCGACGACGTCTCCGACCGCGTCGAGGATGTCGTCGTTTACGCTTCCACGTAAACAGACCGCGGTTTCGTTCTTTTCTTCGCATTGTATTCAATCTTTGCTCGCGTAATTGCCGCGTATTGTTCCACGGTAATTGGCCGACAAGAGACGTCAACGGACGAGCGGGGTGAGCGTGTGCTCGTGGAAAGTAGAATCTCAATCTCGCGAGAAACGTGATGGAAGTTTCGAAAGTTATTCGAAAGACAGGTTAAGGGGAGGCGGGGGAGGAATCGGATTGAATTTAGCGATGGCTTTGCGGAACGTTCAGGTATAAACGGAGTAAAATTTCTCTCAGATGAATACAGAGGCAGAGTGATCGTTTGGACGAAGTGGATGCAACTGTTGAGGACAGTTTTGCTAATTGTACGTTATTGATAATTCGTTCTTGGTCCATTGATTGGTAAAATTATTCTTTAACACTAGAACTACCAACCCAGTCAAACTGACTGGTCCCAGAATTTTCCTTTTTGCAATCACCGAACACGTACACCTGCTTTAAGAATAAAATTGGTATCAACTCGTATTAAGAAAGAACTGTAATCAATATATTCACTCGTATTCATCGTATCGCTGAAATTACTATAATTTATGCACGTTATAGTTAGGTATCCATTAAAGATCGGTAGTTCTAGTGTTAAACGTATCCTTGATCATATTTTTATTTTTATTTATTTATTTCTTTTGTGGGTAATATTTGGTTGTATTTTTATGACGTTCATTGTTGAAAGATGATATTTGACTATGTGTGCATTTATATTCTTCGAGGGTTAGGTCTAGGTAATTAGTAGAACGAATTTACTAATTACTAAATATCGAATTGACATGTTTATAGTATTGTATTTAATTTTCCTCCTTCTGGAAAGTGTCATATGTCTCAAAAATTACATATTCATATACAACACTGTACTATTGTATTTTTTTAGGTTCATAGTGGCAACCAATGATTCTTCAATGCCATCGTTGATCATCAGATCTCGAATTAAAATAGAAATTTAATGTTTAGTATCCTTTTTGTTTCTTAGAAAATTCTGATTGTAGCGGATCAGAGGAAACATTTCCGTGTCTTAAAGGAGGGATTCTTTCTCGTTAAATGAAATACCGTATTTTCGTTTCAGCAGCAGGGAAGGAATGCGCAAATACATACAATGACCTTCGAACGATCTCAGACCACTGAATAGCTCTTTAGAGAGGCAAGTGGTTCAAGCTTCGAAGAACTTATGTAAATATCGTACAGAGCAAAAGACGTCTTGCTCCTTGTTTGTTCAAACAAGTTAGATTTTCCTGTAATCGTGGATGTTCTTATACACTACAGCATAAAAAAAAGATGAGAAAGAAATTGACACAAAAATGTGACAGAAAAATCCAAACCTCATTTTAATTTTCTCACGAACGATGTACACAATACACATCACGATTTCATTTTCAGTCGAATAAATTTTTCGTTTTCGAAAGAGGATAAAAATTTTTAATGGAAATTAACAAAGGAACTTTTAATTCCTTAATTAAGAACATTTTTCCTAAAATAACTATCAAAACTTTGTCACATCTATTTATCATCCACACAGATGGTCATTGAGACCATTCCAAAAGCAAAATTCATCCAAATTTAAAATAAGGATAAATCTGCTGGACCTGATAAACCTATCATTCCCAGAACACGTGCTATTCGACCACAATCTTCTCCAAACACGACTTTGATTGCCATAATCAACTCATTCTAACTCCAACAAACGCATCTTCGACATTCCTTAACCTAATCTCA